GCAAGGTACCCATCTGGAACCTAGACCCACACCAAGGTACCCAAAAGTAGAACCAAAGGTCCTTTCTCAATATATGCTATAGAAACCTTTATAAATACTAGTGGGTGGGTGGGGGGCTTCTAAACAAAAGAAAATCAGAAAATCCAAAATCAAAGGCAATTGCTGCTCCAGATTAGAATGAATAAGTGTAAAAACTCTAGAAGTGTGAAAAAATAGAATGAAAGGACACACCAGAAGAGTACACCAGCTCTCTGGCAATGGATCCCAACTAAAATGAAAATATTGAAGAAACAGATAAAGAATTACAAATGTGGATTAGAAGGAAGCTCAATTCAATCCAAGAGAAAATGGAAAACCAAAGAAACCAGAAAAACAATTAATGAAATAAATAAAAATATTACTAAAGAGACACACATATTTTAACAAATCCAAATAGAACTTATGGAATTGAAAATTTCATGTAAGTAAATACAAAATACAGCAGAAAGCTTTAAGAATAGAAGACAACAGGTGGAAGAAAGAATTTCAGAGCTTGACAACAACTCTGCTGAAGTAACCCAGTCAGTCAAAAATACTGACTAAAGAATCAATAGGAACAAAGTGTACGAGGAGTAAGAGATTATGTAAAATGGCTAACTATGAAAATCACAGGCATCCCTGAGGGTGAAGAATACAAAGCACAAGGTCATATGGAAAACATATTTGAGGGAACAATTGAGGAAAAGTTAAGGTAAGTCTTGCTACAGATTTAGATATCCAAATACAGGAGGCTCAAAGAACATTATAAGGAGGCAATCACCAAGACAGGCGGTAGTCAACAGACTGGCCAAAGTCCTCAGGGAGAGGGAACTCCTTCAAGACATGAGGTAAAAACATCAAGTATCTTACAAAGGAAAACCCATCAGGCTAACCACAGACTACTTTGCAGTGGAGACCTTAGGTAAAAAAAAAAAGAAAAGAAAAAAAGAGGTTGGAGACATTCTCGAAAAGGTCTTACCATTTAACACGTGCTCATTAAATGCTTACTGAGTAAATGAATGAACTTGTGAGTGTAAGAATAAATTAAGCAGATGTCATTGTTATTAAAGATATTCAATAAAATATTCAACTATGCTTAATTGCTTGGAGTCTGCAGATATATTATTTTTTGCATATTTAATAATATTTTCAAATATTCTTCTGAATCAATACTTTGGTTCCATAAAAATACATTAGGACTTATTTATTAAAGATGTCCGTATCCCTTGTACCAATCACAAAGGATAATAGTTTCTCCATTTTTCTCAAATGGAGCAATGTGACACTTCATTACCTCTATATTTCATTACACATATTTCTCTTGCTTTGTGATACCAATCACTCCCACAGACTTCAGGGTACATGCCTCCCAAGACCCAGAAAGAAAGGTTAGAACAACCTGCCAAATTTACTGCAGCTACTTGTAAACTTGTTAAAATGTGCTTTACAAAAACAATGTTAGAGCAGATTAAAATTAACAAAATCATATTGAAATCCAGGAAGAGAATTAAAAACAATAAATATTGTATTCACAGTTGGGAGGTGAGATGGCTGTAAACATAGAGAGGCACAGAGTCATTGATGGCTTTTTGCTTTGAACATCATACTGCTAGACAATTTTCTTAATTTTATTGCCATCTTACAGCCAATACTTTATCTATTGGCATTACTGATATTAGTTGTCAAGGTAATACACTATGTTTCTTAGCTATTTATGAAGTTTAAGGTTTTATAGTCACTTGTGGGTAGAGCTAACTGAGTTTGATTTCAGACTCCACCATTTATGATGGGACATCTGTCAAGTTGCCTCATCTATTCAATTATCAACTTCCTCAATTTCAAAATAAGGATAAAATAGAAGTTACTTCACCAAGTGTGTTTGTGATAATTAAATAAGATAATCTAATATATTTCTATATTACTGCCTCTTAAGGCAACAAAAAAAAGTTACAAGTCCTTACACATGGCAAGTGAATTCTTTTTTTTTTTGAGACAGAGTCTCATGATGTCACCCTCAGTGGAGCTGTGGCATCACAGCTCACAGCAACCTCTAACTCTTGGGCTTAAGCAATTCTCTTGCCTCAGCCTCCTAAGTAGCTGTGACTACAGGCACCCATCACAATGCCCAGCTATTTCCCCCATGATCATAACGTACGAAGGACTTCTTTTGCTTCTTTAAGAGTAATTCTATGAGTCAGCCCTATTTCATTAGCCCTCAAACTATTTTTAGGCGTTATGTCACAGACTATTTTCATAAATTCCCACAAAACTGTCTAGGGATCTTTTCATCCAGCTAACTCTCTTTTTATTCCAATTGCTCTTATATGACTCATCTTCAATCAGTTTCACCCAATTCATAATTGAATTGTTAAAATTTAGAAATCAAAGATGAATCAGACAAAAAGGGAATCTGAAAAAAAAGTAGTAGGTGTAAACGGTAGGGAAAATTTCAGGCTGGTATTTTACAACTTGATTACTGCTACTGATTTGCTGGGGATGAAGATTCAGAGACAAGAGATCCAATTGAAAGAGAATACCTCTCCTCTAACATCAAACATCTGAAGGTACTGAAGTTAGTTTTCTTTATTATATTTAATTCTGTAGCATAAAACAGAAATACAGAAATTTTTAACTTTTATGATCACAATACTTTTTGAAAATAGAAACAACAAAAATTCAGTACTATATAAATACAAATATAAAAGAATTTCCATGAGTTCCAAGGAAACTCTGAAGCCTTCCTATGGATCCTCCAAGGCTACATTAACAGTAAATTGTAAAAGCTTGATTTTGAATGTGACAATACACCTAAAAGTTTCCTTATTTCTTTTTGACTTGGAATTTCCTATAGGTAATTAAGTAGTTTGCATAGAATAGATGCCTGTATATAGGCAGATGCAGCCCCTCCTCACGTACATTCATCAGCTTAGAAAATGCGAGCATCCCCCTGGAAAAATGAACTGGGAAGCAGCCCAGCATATTGCTTAGATATCCCTAAAGGCAATATACCTTAATAGACACTCCAGTGGTCAGTGGTTCTGCAGTTACAATCTCTTATCCCACAGATACTGAGTAGAGCTCCCAAACCCTCCTCTTAAGAGTCCTATGCTCCCACACTATCCTTAAAATAAGACATCAATAGCAACCTCAACTACCAAGAGGAACACATAACAAAACTCATGAAGGCTATCTTTCTCGTGCATTTTACCTACCTAATTTTTAGTTCTTATAGCAAAGTATTATTGCCACCCATTTTACAGATGACAAAACCGAACCTCTGAAAGATTGATTTTTCCCAGTGTCAAACACCAAATGGATTATTTTCATTACACCACAGACATATAAATAAATAGAAATAGCTCCTTAGGAAAATTATTCTCTGGATACTCACCACAAAAACTTACATACCCAGGCCAAATGCCCTTAGTGCCCACCAAAGTCATGCGTATGAAAGAAAAAGTGTTAAATGTCTTCTCTCTCTATCAGGTTAACTGGCACTGACTTGGTCTTTTTCTCTGGACATCTTTCAAAATAAATAAATCGCAGCTACTGTTTCAGAGTACAACAACGTCTTAGGCCGCACATTGTTATTTTAAGCTTTTGCCTCTGTGTCTGCAAATCAGTTGACACGTTCCAGTCTGGCAGGACTGTTGGCTTCCCCCCCTCATCTGTTCCTTCTCCCCTTCCCTCCCCACTGCACCCCCACCTCTTCCCTAGATGACAGACTGACAGACAGGACTAAGTGTACCTTGTTTAAACATCTGCTTTATTACTGATGAGTGACTGCCCTGTGAGTAGGCTGGGGTTTTTTTCTTATCTTTTGCTTAGGAATTCAGATGGTCTGATTAGAAAGCTGAACTGTTTGGAAGAGCCTGACAGATGCCTCTTACTTTCTTTAAGACCACCATGAATGCTGAGGCATTCCGCTCAGACAATTTTCAGTGGTGGAACAACTGTCTAAGTACCTGTCTATGCCAAGCACGCATTTAACTGAGGAATCCCACTTCCACACCCAAGGATTAGTTTTCTTTGGGGAAATAATTGGATAAAGAGCCATAATTCTGTAAATGTTATGAATCTGTTAAGGGTCAGCTGCTGCAATTGTGTAGCAGAGTGACTGTTGAGAAGAGTGACTATTGGCGGAACTATAATAAAACTCAGAGAAAGCTAATGACAGGAAAAAGGAAGCCAGCAAGCCCAGAACGTTACGTGTAATAGAAAGTACAAGGAAGAGCGTGGGTCCCATAAAAGAGCCTATAGATCTTTTAAAATGTGTAGCTCTTTTTAGAACTTCTTTTAAAAAGTATTCTAAAACAAAGAACATTTTGGGGGTTCAAATGTCAACTATAATGATTTTGAATTCAGCAAGGTGGAAGAAAATAAGTATTGAATTCCAAAAATACCTATTATTACACTCCAGTTAGGATCCTTCAGGAAGGAAAAGTATGACTCCTTCTGACTTGACGCGAGAGAATTATATTCCATAAAAAATAGTTCTATCAGGGAGTTTTATAATATGTGTAGAAGTTGAGACTCTCAAAAGAAAGAAAGAAATCAGTTTGGGGAGGGAATAACAGGAAATAAATACAGGAAGGGAATACAAAGGGAAGAGAAGGTAACACTACAGATTACGTTGGGGCGCCCTTAAATCTCTGTACTCACTTTAGCTTGTTGCTCCCCCTTCTACTGCATGAAGCTCATTGAGTTTCAATAGAGCTTTTCCCTACCAGTGTTCCTCTTTCTCTAGCGCTTCCCTTACATGTTTCCTCCATATTCATTCAAGATGCAGCTTACATGTCATTACTTAGAGAGTTCTTCCTTAAACGTGCAATTTAAAGAGCTCAGACACTCAGTATCCCTTGACTTTGTTCCATTTTTACTACCTTTAATCTTCTGGGGGGGGGGGGTCCGAACTTTTTTAATCTTTCACAAAACTTCTCTCATTCGCCACTGTATTTTTAGCACTTAGCACATAATGGATAGTTAATGAAAGTTTGTTGAGACTAAGATTGGAAGAATACAGAGATGATGAGCGTGGCCCCCGCCACAAGGCTGACACACAAACTCATGAAGTGCTCTATATTTTTAGAAGCTACAAAGAACTCAAGCAAATCAGCAAGGAAAAATCAAACTCCTTTAAAAAGTGGGCAATAGACATGAACAGAAATTTTGCATTTGAAAATAGTGTAACGGCCAAGAAAAATGTGAAAAAAATGCCCAACCTCAATAATTATCGGGGAAACGCAAATCAAACAAGGTGCTATCACCTAACTCCAGTGAGACTAGCTCCCATCAGAAAGCCCCAAATTAGCAGATGGTGGCCTGAGCACAGGAGAGGACCACTCATTCACTGTTGGTGGGGCTGCAGACTAACACAACGTCTGTGGAAAGTAGTATGGGGGTAGGGAGTTGACATACTTTTCCAGTGTCTGAAAGAGATTCTAGAGAATGCCACTCTTCCAACACAGAGGGTCTAGATCTAAGAGACATGCAATGTTCTTGGTCAAAGCAGAAATGTTTGCCTTACCTAGTGCGACTAGAGGGAGGTGGACTAACTTTGTCCTCTGTAATACGTTTCCTAATAACAAGCACCGTCTTATGAATTTAACAAAAACAGTTACTCCTGTACCGCCACCTGTGGGGATTGGATGCGGAATTACCTTCCCTAAGTGGAAATTTAGCCATGTAATGAGGCTCTCATTTAATGAATACTGGCACAAAGAATGTGCTCCATAAATATTTTATTGAGAAATAGAAACAAAATGTAGGAATTTTTTTTTTTGAGATAGAGTCTCACTCTGTGGGTAGAGTACCATGGCATTATGGTTGCTCACTGCAACCTCAAACTCCTGAGCTCAAGTGATCTCCCGCCTCGGCCTCCTGAGTAGCTGGGACTACAGGCATCTACCACAATGCCAAGTTAGATTTTCTATTTTTACTAGAGATGGGGTTTCATTCTTGCTCAGACTAGTCTTGAACTCCTGAGTTCAAACAATCCACCTGCTGTGGCCTCCTAGAGTAACTAGGATTACAGGCTTGAGCCACTGTGTCTGGCTAAAAACCTAGGAAATTTAAGTAAAGGGATCAAAGATGGAATGAAAAAAATGTCTGCAGCCTCTTTTACCTATAAATGCAAAAGAAAACAAAAGAATAGGGTCAAAACAAAAAATTGTCACAAACATAATTATATCCATACAGAGTATATAAATTGTCTGACAATGTCATTTCAAGACTACAAATAACTGTGAACTTCTGGATGATAGAGAGAAAGTCTTTCAATTTTTGACCTCTGTCCCTTTACTCTCCATTGTCTAGAACATCATAAGGGATCAATAAGTAATTGTTGAACTGAACTGATTATAGCTGGGGGCAGCTGATCAGACCTTGCGTGAGACCTACTTAGTTTCTTCAGAGAACCAGAAAATAGGTCAGATGTATTCTGTACCACTTTGGAGGACATTAGCAAAGGGGAAACTTCTGTTCAGGATAATTATGAGCACAATTGACTGCTGATTTATTGCGTACTACAGGAGTGTGAATTTGTAAGCATGACTAAAAGTGCATCTATTTGCACTGGCGTCAAGGGCTCTCCTAACTCTAGATGCCTTGGATAAAGAGTACGATATGTATGTCTCCAAAGCTCAGGGAGGAAAAGCTCTCAAACATGGTACCTCCTTTGCTCTGGATCTGCAGATGTTGAAGAAAGAATAAAGACACTGCTGGATAATCAGTACTTCTTCCAATCAGAATGGAGACCATCTCCTATGCTGGTCTTTTTGACAACCATGCCCCCAAATGGGGCTTGTGGACATAAAATATTCAAGATGTGGCATTTCTTGTGCTTCCTGCACTTGAGCACCTCAGTTAGCTATTGACCTTAGGTCCTTATATCTGCAACCTCCCTCCAAGGATAAATCCCATATAAATCTAGTAAGTGACTATGTGAGAGTGCAGTTTGCTGCACTACTAAGTGACTGTATGAGTCATGCAGTTTTCTGACTGTTCATCAGGAAATTACTTGGGAAACTGATGCGAATATTTCGATTTTATTAGAATAAATGAGAAGAAAAGGTGGAGTCACCTTTCTGCATTAACATTGCACAGAAACATTTAGTTGTGCATAAAATTTTAAACATTTGAAGATAAAATTTCATTTTCTGCTGCCTTCTATTAGTGCTTATGAGTGGCCTGCACTAACTAGAATCTGACTCTGTTCAGTTTAAGATTTGCTTATTGTTCCTGGTGACTCTCTGTCTCCCTCTGTCTCTGTCTCTCTAGTTTTATATATCATGTATAAATATATGCAGAGGGTGTCAAATAATGTGGAATTTTTTAAATTGCAATGTTCAAGTCGTGTTTGACTTTTATAGTTACAAGAGATACAAAATACAAGATGATGAATGTTGTCAGGATATATTGAATATTATAATTTCAATGGAGTTTTTCTTTTCTTAAAATATGTAAACATCTTTGACCTTCTCTATATATCCTGCTTGAGTGCTCTCTCTCTCTCTCTCTCTTTTCATATACAATTATAAATATAATTGAGAATTTCCAGAATTGATGTCATCAGATCAAAGTGCCTTGAGCCCTTCAATTCTGGAAAATTCATCCATTATTTCAAAAATATCCTTTCTGCCATTAAATCTGATTCTATCCCTTCTATCATAGATACTTTTTAATTCTTTGTAGCTTTTAATCTCTTTAAATTCATTTTGGTTTCTCAAACCTATTTTTAGTTCTCTTAATTCTTATGCTAGCTTTGTGTTGTTTACTGCATATAATTATTTTAAAGATACTTTTTCCTAATTCAAAAATGTATTATAAATGTACAGTAATCAAAAAGGCATAATTTTGGAGAAAGAATAGACGGCTACATTAATGGAACAACAAAAACAGACTCATGCAAATACATGTGACTGATCTTTCCCAATGGAGCAAAGTCTTTTGAACAAAGGGAGATAATACAAATGAATAACAAAAAGGTTAAAAATAAACAAAAACAAGAGCTTCGCATAAAGATGTTTTTTAACTTAAATTACAAAACTATTTCCAGAGTTTCTGTATGATTCCTTTTCAAAACTACTAATTTTTTTATATGTCCTATTATTGCACTGCAATTTTTATTCTATCTTTCTTGAATTTCATTTCTAAAACTTTTCACATTATTACATTTCATCAAGTTTTCAGAGTTGCCAATTTTCCTGGTTTGTATCTACTTATTCTCCTTTATACTAAAGTGTTTTCTTACGTGGATTGTGTTTTTTTGTTGCTGTTTGGACTCATCTTCAGTTCAGATTACCTCTTTTATGAAATTTTTGTGACTTAGAATTATGTAAACATCCCCATTGTGTATTTCATTCTGTTTGAAACCCTAGGGATTTCACTGGTTCAGGAATGTATGCTGATTCCTTGGCTTGCAACTCCCAGACAATACAAGTAGTATGAACTTGGGCTCCTTTTGTGGACTGTGCTTGGGCTTTGATTATTTGAGGAAGAATTCTTTTCTTCTCATCACCACCCAATCCCCTAATTCTCTCTCCAAGTGAAGAGTCTTTCTAGAAATCTGTTTAAAAGTGTGAAACTTCTTAGGCTTCCAGCTTTATACATGGGTCTTAGTTTCAATTCCCCACATTTTGCTGACCAGGACCAAATCCCTAGTGAAATCCTGAGTCTCTAGTGCTGTGGTATACAGAGACCATGGGCACCATCTTAGCCTGTTATGGCACCAACTTGCACACCCAGAGCTCTGGCTCTGAGCTCATTTTTAATTTCTGGTTCCTGTGAATTTCCTATTATTTATTTTGAGCCTGACTATATATAGTGTAGTATAGAAGGAGAGGTTAAATCTGTCCTAGTGATACAGGATTTCACCACTCAGGGCCAGACAGGGAATCCCCCATTCTCTAGGCCCAGAGCTCAGAGGTCAATATATATACTGACTCAAAATATGCCTTCCTCATTTTACATGCCCATGCTGCTATTTGGGAGGAAAGACAATATCTAATGTCCAATGGCTCTCCCATAAAATATCATTATAAAATAAATAGAATATACTAACCAGATTTACGTCTTTCAGAGATATCATCAAACCACAAACAGTGAAAAGAATTCCAGCCCAAACTTAACTCTATTGTGAACCTCTGGATCACTGCCCATCTGAAGAGACCCTAACTGTCCTCTTCTATTGATTTAGGGTTCTCTCATTCCAGCCTGGACAAGGGACCCCAGTATTCTGGGCCTAAGTATTTCATGAAGAGAATACGCTAACATTTTACCACAAGCTAGAAAAATCAACCTAAATTTCCATTTACTGTGAAGCCTGGATCAACCTCCTCTGAAGAAACTCTAACTGCTTCCCCATATCACCTCCATCTTCAGCAGGAAGCAGTTTGGAGTAGTCAGTGTCCCTTTTCCCTAACAGCAGTTACAGCTTCTATTTAGAGAGGAAGAATTGATGCAGGATTCCACCACTCAGGGCTAGACAGGGAGTCCCCCATTCTCTAGGCCCAGACCTCAGAGGTCAGACCCCCTTTTCCAGGCACAAGCAGACTGCCTTCCTGTGATGATTTTTTGAGTGGCTCCACCTTGGGTAAAACCACACACCCTAATCCCTTCTCAGGGACAAAGACTGTAAAGGACATGACAACTACATCCATTCATTGGTTAATGCACCCATTTCCACCTACCAACTGCCAGCCAGGTGTAATCCTCTAGACCTAATTCCCTCAGACAAAGAGTCCATGTGGAGACTCCCAGGAGAGTTCTTTGGTTCTTTCCTTTTCCAGAAGCCCTGATGCTTTTTACTTTTTCTGTATTCCTTTCTTACTTCTAATAAAAGTCCTATCTTACCATTCTTTGAGTTCCCGAGACCAAGGACCTACTGAAGAGCGAAATTCTGGTATCACTAGCTTAGTTCCTCATATCACAAACTAACACTTTGGAAAGTGTTCTGGAATGTCTATTATACCTTTAGTTAATTTTTAGTACCTTTTGTTTTCTTATTTTTACCCTGTGATTGTGTATTTACAACTCTTGGCCTTATTTAATTTTATAGGATCATTTTTTCTTTCTCCCACAAGTTTTT